GTCTGTTGTGAGGTACAGAATCAAACGCTTGGCAAAGTCAAGATAGATTACATCAATAAATTGGTGGGATGCTATGGAGGACGAGATGATATCAAAAGTTTATATTAGGTTAGTTACGCATGATTTATGATAAAGGAAGCCACGTTGATTTGCAGAGAGCATTTTATTACCGTTAATGTGCTTTAAAATTTTGTTCTTTACAAATTTTTCAAGATTTTACAGGCAACAGATCTTAGTGAAATAGGTTTATAGTTTTCAGCAAGTAGTTTATCTCCCTTTTTTTATAGATCGGACTAATATTTGCTAATTTCCATTGACTGAGTACTACTCCAGAATTAAAGGATTCATGAAAGATTTTTGTTAATGGAATTGCAAAGCTTTTGGCACATATCTTGAGTATTAAGGGATGCAGGCCGTCTAATCCGATAATAACTCTGTTGATCTGTTTGCAGAAAACAGATCAATAGAGTTAATAGTAGTAACAGATTTGTTTCAGTTTTTTTTATGATCAGTTTTTTAATGTGATAAGAATATTATATATATATATATATATATATATATATATATATATATATATATATATATATATATATATATATATATATATATATATATATATATATATATAAATTAGTAGAAAATCACTTAACAAAAATTTATTTATTTATTTTACACTGTGTTTCATCAACAAAAACTCATCAGAAATGAATGATCAAACTAATAAAACTTCAGCACTCTATTTTGTAGAATACATTTTAAAAATTGTATTCTATATATATATATATATATATATATATATATATATATATATATATATATATATATATATATATATATATATATATATATATATATATATATATATATATATATATATATATATATATATATATATATATATATATATATATAGAATACAATTTTTAAAATGTATTCTACAAAATAGAGTGCTGAAGTTTTATTAGTTTGATCATTCATTTCTGATGAGTTTTTGTTGATGAAACACAGTGTAAAATAAATATATAAATTTTTGTTAAGTGATTTTCTACTAATTTATATATTTTTTTTAATGTTGATTTAGGTGCCCCAAGAAGTCCTTACGGTCTTATCACAGAGCACCGCGAAAGAGCATTTAATAGGAAGTTCACGCCTCCTTCCCAAACGATGTCGCAAAACTTGTTTAGAGGTGGGGTTTGAACCACGGATCTTACGTTTCTGAAACAAGTGCGCTACCACTGCGCCACGGCTGCTCATATATATATATATATATATATATATATATATATATATATATATATATATATATATATATATATATATATATATATATATATATATATATATATATATGTATATATATATATATATATATATATATATATATATATATATATATATAAATATATATATATATATACATACATCAGTGACGGATCCAGGAGGAGAGAGTATGTATACTTCCCCCTTTCTCCTACCAGATTCTGAAAGTTCTAAAATATTTTAGAAATAGACTTTTTTTTTTCGCAGACGCAAAGCTGATACAAAATAAAATAATATTTCAACTTCCCCTTCCCCCACACCAAAAATTCCTGCATCCGTCACTCACACACACATATATATATATATATATATATATATATATATATATATATATATATATATATATATATATATATATATATATATATATATATATATATATATATATATATATGTATATATATATATATATATATATATATATATATATATATATATATATATATATATATATATATATATATATATATATATATATATGTATATATATATATATATATATATATATATATATATATATATATATATATATATATATATATATATATATATCGATACTACATAACAAAAGCATTAGCTAAAAGAAATTTAATTAAATTATCTAATTTTAAAATTTTAGACTTTGCAGAAGCGTTTGATTAAGTTTCTCACCGTAGACTAGTTCATAAATTGAAAGCGTATGGGATCAATGGCAATGTTCTTAAATGGATTGAGTCATTTTTGATTAGTAGAAAATAGCGAAATGTTTAAGGTGAGCACTCTAGCGACCGGACTGATGTTTTATTCGGAGTTCCACAAGGGTCTGTGCTTGGTCCAACATTATTCATCATCTATATAAACAACTTAACGGATAAGATAAACGCATTTCATAAAATCTATGCTAATTACACTTAATTGTTACAAGAAATAAGACTTTGAGTTTCTTGATGCTAAATTGTCTGATTCTTCAAAACAATTTAAAAATTCTCACAGAATAGTCAACGGAATGGCTTATGAAATTAAATGTTGAAAATTATGCGCCTTAATTATGGAAATAGTAATCATAAATATGAAATGAATAATGGACATATATCACTAACTCTTAAGCCAAAGTAAATTAAGAGAGACCTAGGTATCTTTATATCTAATGATTTAAAATGAAAATAATTCGTACAGGTTGTAACACGTAAAACGAATAAGATACTTGGCCTATTAAAAATATATATTTAGATCAAGAGGTATGAAACTTAGGAGTAAACTATACACTGCATATGTTAGGCTGCATCTGGAAATTGCTGTTTCGGTATGGTATCCTTACTTGAAAGGTGTCATCAAGAAAGTTAAAATTATTTAGTACAAAGTAGCAAAAGTGCCTTATGATTTAATAGGGTTACCTTATGATGAGAAGTGTCGGCGTCTCAATTTTACTACTTCGGAAACTCACAGGAGACGTGGCAACTTAATTAAACTGTTCAAACTAGAAAACGGTTTCAAGATCGTCAACGGCATAACCCACCAATTCTCAAATCAACATGTAACGTCCTAATGCGCGAATTTACATATAATAATGCTCGTAATAATTTCTACATAATAATTGGAAAAACTCGCCGATAGCATGCAAAATGGCTCCGCCAGTTAATACGTTTAAGAATAGAATTGACAAGTATTTCTATTTTTTCCTACAGAAACAAATAGTACACTATATACTGATTTTTGATTTGACGAGCTGCACGTTTATTAATTAATTCGCGCTTTAGCATCTACAAATATTGACTTTTAATATTTTATATCTTATAAACTTAAACTTTAACTGAGTGAAAGCAACTTTTTTTTACACTTTTTTGCAAATGTTTTTTTTTTTTACTTAAAGTTTAAATTTTATATACCTCCATAAATTTTGTTTAATTTATTGGCTTCGTATTTTTTTTTTTTTTATTTATTTTTTTTTATTTGTCATGTAGTCTAAAAAAACTAAATATATTACTGTTACTATAGCTACTAACAATAGTACAAGGTTCTTATTTTATCATATTATCATAAAATAATCAAGACAAAAATAAATGAGTAGCGATGGCTTTTTTCTAATTTAATAGTTTTGTGTACTAAATTAAAAAGAAATATTTAAAATCTAATTCTCTTAAAAAGAAGAAATAAGAACCGCTTAGATTCTTTTTTCAATTTTTCTGAATATTTTAAAACAATTTTATTTTTAAAAATTGAAAAAAAAAAATATTTTTTTTTATTTTTATTTTACTTATTTTAAGTTTATTTTTTGTTCCTTAATATTACAAATTCGTAACCACATAATAAAGATTCGTTAACAGTGAAAATATAAATAAAAACAAAATATTACAAAGTGGTTTTACAAAAATAATAAATTTACTCTAACACTGTAAAAAGAACGCAGAAAACTTGCAGAAGACCAAATGGTCTTATCATCAAGAACCGCTTTACATTGCCATAAATATAAAAACATATTCATAGAATTTTTATATAAAATCGTTTAATTATAATGGTATTAAAATGTCAGATAACAAGTATACAAATATATTTTTACAAAAATCTTTTTTTTTTTTTTTTTTTTTTTTTTCTTTTTTTTAATTATTTAAATATTTTTTTAATTATTTAAATATTTTAAAACACAAGCACAAGTTTTTAAAGTTTCAGCAAAAAGAGAATTACAACTAATGAAAAAATTACACTTTAAAAAAAAAAATTGGAAGCAAAAATAAAAAAAAGAGAACAATAAATATTTATTGTTTGCTGTTGCTTTTATTTTTTTGTTTATTTTAGGTGCTCTAAGAAAACCTAACGGTTTTGTCACAGAGCACCGCGTTAGAACATTTAACTAAGAAGTTAAACGCTTTTTTCACGTCTTCTTTTCAACCGATGGGGTGAAATATCCTAAGAGGTCACTTCAAACCCTAAATTTCTTGGTTCTAAAGCAAGCGCATTAGAACCAAAAAATCTAGGGTTATCATAAATATTCAACCATTAATGGGGTATGTGTTCAATAAATCTAGTCTCAAGAATTAAATACAACTTTTTAAAAAATTAGTCGGAATTTGGCAGAAAGTCTTTAGAAATTAAATTTTAAAACTTGATTTTCTCGGAAACATAAAAAGTGGACATACGGCTACTTGGTTCTCGGCTGACGATTTGTTAATTTTGAAATTTTGCTGGGTATGAGAAAATCAGTATTGTCCACTTAGACTTTAGATTTTGCATTTTTGTACAAGTTTTTTAAAAAACTCTTGGAACCAAGGTTTTTCCAGTTATGTGCCCAATTAAACAAATGAGTTTATAATTTTACTCAAAAAAGTGTTAAAGTAAACATACGTCTAAGTTTTTCCTTTATAAACATTAAATTAAAAAGCCAATAACTGACAAAAATATTCATAAAAAGACATTTTAATTTTAGGGCGTGTGTGCAAGATTGTTGGAAGTAATAAAACTATATAAAGTCAAAAAAATATTTAATAATTATTCAATTTCCAAATCACTTGTTTGTGCCTTTAGCTTACAACGTAGTAAAATAGTTTTAATAACATTAACCAATAACTTATTTACGAACAAACATAAAAATGATTTTGTTTATAAACGATGTTAATCAACAACTTCGTTAGTTACATATTAAAATATATATAAACAATTATTAAGTTAAAGATGTGAATCTCATAAAAAAGAACAAACATGCATACCACAATTATTGAATTCAAAATTCGCTTGACAAATAATCGTTGCTGAATTAATGATGAATAAAATATGTAAGACATTTTTGGTAACCATTTTTCATTTTAAGTTATGTAAAATATTTACAGTTTGCAATCTTATTTAAAATGTTTAACAAGTTTATATATTTGGGTAGCAACATTTGAATCATACAGAATGTATGATTCAAATGTTGCAGATCGTGAGTACCAGAAGAAGCTTCAATAACAAATTCATGCTCATAGGTAGACATTAAAACCTTTAGAACACTTTTGTTGTGTTTTAAGTAACCTTACGTTGACGTGTTTAAATCAATGCAATTTTAATATTTAGTAAAATATGTCTAATATTTAACTTATGCAATAATTTATTGAAAATAACTTATTAAAAAACGCAAATAAAATTTGCGCTAAAAATTGTAGCACGATTAATAAACGCAATAAAGGTGTGAAATTTTAGATCCTAATTTACCTTTCTTCCTTAACAGATTGCGGAATGGAGTCATTATTGGTGCCTGAGAAAATGCGTATAATACCTGTGTATTCAGGCCTATTTTTTGGTGAAGGAAAATGTTCTAAATCTTTTTTTTTTTTTTCTCTTTTCAATATATATTTGCTGTTTATATCATAAGAAATAAAATTACAAAGAAACGTTTACATACAAAAAAAGTGGATTTATAAAAAACAGGCAGGAACTCAAAGAAGATACGGATGACTTAAATCACCACAATCTTTTCATAAAGCCCCTAGGTGGGCTTTACAAGTTTAAAAAAAATAGGATCTCTAATATAATAAAAAGGTTAAAGCTTGCATAAATATTTCCTTATTTATGCAAGCTTTTTGGAAGGTCTGTATCTTGTCATGGTTAGCTCAAACCCAGAAAACTCAGTGTTTTCCAAGGTGAATTTAACTTTTTCAGGATTAAAAACAATTCCGTTGTCTGACCATAGTTTAATATGAGACATAGTATGCCAAAATAAAAATTCAATATATAGGGACTAATTGGTTAAATGGAAAATCAACGTAAATGACTAATGGTAAGAGTTTTCATGCAAGTTTATTAAAAACAATTCTTTGAGTTCTGTTATATTAAAACTTAATCAATTAAATAGTTTATCATAAAGCTTGACTAATTGAATACAGAATACAACATTTTACTTTTTTATTGCTTAGTGATCAAGTTTTTAGTCTAAACATACAGTATTCTTAAGTTAAAGTTAGTTTACTAACTTGTCTAAGTTTTTTTTGCATTTTAGGAATAACATCTGAGATATCAAGACAGTTTTCTTAAGGAATTTTTTGTTTGTTTGTTCTAATGTTCTAATTTTTTGTTTGTTTTAATATCTCGAACAACCTGTTAATCTCGCTGTTAATCTTTGACACACAGTTAATCATTGTTAATCTCTGAAACACAGTTAATCATTGTTAATCTCTGACACACAGTTAATCATTGTTTATCTCTGAAATACAGTTGATCATTGTTTATCTCTGACACACAGTTAATCATTGTTAATCTCTGAGACACAGTTAATCATTGTTAATCTCTGAAATACAGTGAATAATTGTTTATCTCTGACACACAGTTAATCATTGTTAATCTCTGAAATAAAGTTAATCATTGTTTATCTCTGAAATACAGTTAATCATTGTTAATCTCTGACACACAGTTAATCATTGTTAATCTTTGAAATACAGTTAATCATTGTTTATCTCTGACACACAGTTAATCATTGTTTATCTCTGACACACAGTTAGTCATTGTTTATCTCTGACACACAGTTAATCATTGTTAATCTCTGACTGCATGAGTACTAATTAATACAAAGGCTGTTGATAAAAGTTTTAATTAGTTTCTTAAATTCTCATTTAAATCTTAGAGTTACTGATTTTTATATTTAATTCGTGTTGCAGGCATGTTGCAGGCGTGTTGCAGTGGCAGCTCAACAGAATGCAGCACAAATCCAATAGATGTCAGCATTTTCTTAAATTTTTTTGTGTTGAAAAACAAAATCGCTATCTGCAACTTTACCATATTTTTCAATAACAGCTATAAAATTTTGGTTCAAGTAAAACATTAGCTGCATCGTTAGCCATGGTAGCACAAGGTCTATTAGGTAAACGAATCAAACATTTTACGATTGAATATAAACTAACTTCGTTCTTATCTTTTTCAAGACGATCCATTATGTTTTTCAGCTACTTTCTTTGGAAGTCTTCAACAAACTTATGACATTTCATACCCATTCCTTCTTTTTGTACTCAAAATTTATGGTGTTATGCTGCCGTATTTAACTTTAAAAACTAGTTTGTCATACTTTTTTCTTTTCATTTACGTTTTTTTAGAATATTTGTTTCAGTATTTTTGTTAGCCATGGAATTGACATGCATAATCAAAAGAAGTAACCTTTTCATTTCGTCAAAAACTTTTAAACCTTTTTAATGTTTAACGGTTTTAAATCTAAACTCGATTACTTTTATTTGCTGTATGGAAGGTTTTTTTTTTAGAACATTATATTTTGCCGTTGAATAAATATTACAACCTACATAAGCTTACTCCTAAATTTTGTCCTATCGCCGAGCACTGTGTTACAATTTATATAATTTTTTTAAATTTTTCTCAAGAGTATAAAGTTTCAGCTAGAAATAAAATAGATGTTACAAAAATATTAACTTTAAAATAAGATCGTCTTAATTAATTGGAATTACCATAAGTTATGGTAATTCAAAAATATTACCTTTAAAATAAGATCGTCTTAATTAATACCATAAGTTATGGTAAAACACAATGTGATTAGTATTAAGATTAACCTTAAATTTACTTATGCTGTAAATTAAAAAACAAAATTAAATAATTACTGACAATAATCATTTTTTTTTATATATAACATTTGCAATAAACTCGCAACATAAAAGCTTTTAATGAAACTTTTGAGTTAAAGGTGTCTCCCATTAACCGTTTCGGTTTTTTAAACTTATTAAATATTTTAGATATAAGAATTCGTATAAACATTATAAATAAATCAAAGTAATTAAAATTAAAAATATACAAGTATGTTTTCTGTAGAGAGAATAATATTTTTTAATTTTCTTTTAAATGCAAAGAGGTTCTAGTCTTTAGAAAAATCAAAATGTTTCAAAACTATATTGTTCCACAGAAACGCCCCTCGAAAAGAAATACAAAACTTGCCTAAATCTGTTTTAAATACAGGTTGTAGAATGAAATTATCATTTCGTAAATTATACTTATTTTTTTCTTTTGAGGAATATAAATTGTGAAAAGAAACCGGAGCTGTACGATTTTTACATTTAAACATAAAACACAGTACATTAAATACATTTAGTTGAAATATATTTAAAATATTCATTTCAATAAAGAGAGGCTTAGTATGCGCAAAACGGTCTTTAAAATTAATAAGACGTGCAGCATGTTTTTGTTGGCGATGAAGAGGTTCTAATTTACTTTTATTAACACTACCCCAAGCCGCATTCGCATAGTTTACGTGGCAATAAATGAATGAGTGGTATAGTTGAATTAAAATATGTTTACTTAGCATGCTTCTTGCTTTATACAGTATACCTATATTTTTCGAAATTTTGCAGGATATGTTTTCGATAATATTGAAATCAATTTATAATTTCAATAATATCGAAAAAATGCGGATAGTTTCGATAATATCGAAAAAATTTTGATAATATCGATAATATTGATAAAATCTCACATGGAAAAACCATATTATGGTTTTTCCATGTGAGATTTTTATCAATTGATACCCCTAAAAAGTTTTTTTTATTTTTTATTTTTTATTTTTTTTATTTTTCAATTTTTTGCCGTAGAAAGTTACAATTTATAAAATAACATAAATAATAAAATAAATGGCTGGAGCAAGAAGAAGACATCAGTTTGTCTTAGTTTGTCGTTTTTTACAACAAAATATATAAAATCGTGATAAATTGTTTGTGATAAAATATGTAAAAATGTGAAAAACTACGTTTTACAATTGATATAACTGTTTATATATAAATTCGTTTAGTAAAATAAATTTAGAACAAGTAAAAGTTAAAACAAATGAAAGTTTGTACATATTGCTCTTTTAATTAAAACGCCATCAATAAAAAGACTGGGAAGCTCTATTGGAATTAGACGTTTTTTAGAATTAGAATGGAAAAGAGACCATTTTGTTTTTTCATTATTCAGAGAAAGTTTGTTTGATTTAAACCATTGGAAAACTTTATTTAGTTCAATGTCCATACAAGAAAATAGCGTCGTTTTGTTGCTATGAGATAAAAAAAAATTTGTATCGTCAGCAAACATAACTGTCATCAAATTGGATGCTTCATAAAAGTCGTTTATGTAAATGAGAAAAAGTAAAGGTCCGAGTACAGATCCTTGAGGAACGCCGCATGTAATTTCTAATAATTTAGATCGAGATGGTTGGTAAAAATGAACAAGTTGTTTTCTATTGCTTAAATAACTTTTTATTAGCTTAAGAAAATTTCCTGTGATTCCATAACATTTTAGTTTTTTGAAAAGGATTTTATGGTCAATTGTATCAAACGCTTTTGATAGGTCGACAAAATTTTCTAAAGTAAATTTCGACTTTTTAAAGGAATCTGTAATACACTGAGTTATTTAAAGAATAGCGTGTTCAGTGGAATTTTTCTTAAAACCAAGATTTTTTGTACAGCATATTATTTTTCGACAGTTGAAAAATTTTTTTATAAAAAATTCTCTCTAAAATTTTGGAAAAAACAGAGAGAACAGAAATAGGACGGTAGTTACCAATATTCAACAGTTCTCATCCTTTAAATATTGGTGTAACTTTCACTATTTTCAACTGATCAGAAAATATTCCTTGATCAATTGAACATTTAAATACTTTATATAGAACATATTTATGGTTTTATATGAGTTAATAACCACATTTCCGCTAATATCATGACCTATTGTCATGATGATTAAGTCAAATATTAATTTAATAGTAAATTTCTACCACTTCATAGCGGAACAACATAGAAAGTATTTTCTTATCCTTTATACTCAAAATATCCCTAAAACTCAAAAGCAGCACAACTCTAACAACTCTAAAAAAATTTTTAATGTAAACTAATGCGCAGATAAAAATTAACTTGCGGTTCTCGAAATTCTTAGCCAGAGGAATAAAATGAGAAGGATGGGAGGGGGGCCGGAGAAGGGTGAATCCTTAAAAAGTACCAACTGGTTTCTTATTAAAAAAAAGTACTCAAAACAAAAATTTACCCGACTGAATTGTGTCAAACACCTGACTAGCCGACTAAATTCGTAAAAAAAAAAAAAATCATTATCTTGGAAGGGAGGGGGAGGGGTGGTGGTGTTAGAAAACCCCTCTACACACCCCCGTAAAATCGTTTCTGCTCCTAGCTCATCCTTTTCAACAATTATTATAAAAAGTACCTTTAACAAATTTGCCGAGTTAGATCATGGGATAATTTTTTTTGTAAGATGTCATTTAAGAAACTTAGTCACTGGAATACTTTAACAACCAAGATAGGATTTAAAAGTTTCAGTATGATCTTTTTTTCCTTTTTTATAAATCAACAAAACCATGGTTTTGTTGATTTATAAAAAAGGAAAAAAAGATCATACTGAAACTTTTTTCTCATAATATTTTATTTGTTTAATTTCAACTTTTTTGAGTTATATAACAATTTTTATTTATAAACTGACTTAATTTTACAACGATTTAAATTATATATCAAAAGGGTGGATGTATACAGAGGCGATTCTACGAATAAAAGGAGGGAGGGAGTGTTACCTCGAAAAGTACCGAATAGCTTCTAAAAAAAAAAAGCTGAAATAGCCGATTGGCCGACTACATTCGTAAAAAAACCGACTATAACTTGAAAAAAACCTTCTTTGGAGGTGAGGGGAGGGTGTAATAACCCAACCCCTCTCCCCCTTCCCCGAAAAATCGCTTCTGGATGTATACCACAATCACTTGAAAAAACATAAGTTCTATTTTTGGAAAAAACTATGCATTTTTATCAGAAAGTATATTTAAAATATTTATAAATAAATATTTTAAAACTTAAAATCTTTCCTTAAAATAGAGTTTATATTTTTTCAAGTGTTTGTAGTATAAATCAACCGATGCATTTGTAAAAAATCAACAATTTCCAAGTTAAAACTAAACAAATAAAAATATTAGCATTGAAAGAGTTTCATTATTTAAAAAAAATTGCTTTGAATTAAAATGAAAAAGAAGAAAATAATTTCAACATCATTTTTAACTATATTACGGAAAATATACATCCAGCTTTATTTACAGTAAATAAAAAGTGCAGCCTTACGGAATCACAATTATTCACAAAGCTATTACACTGTAACTTTATCACAAAGTTACAGTGTAATATATTACACTGTAACTTTGATAACAATAATGGAATAACAATAATGATATAAATAAATAATAAGATAACAATAATGGAATATTCTATAATGGAAAATTACAAAACATTTTTATATTGCATATTTTTTTTGATTTAACTTTTTTCAATGAATATTTTATAAAGATGCATTAGCTATTAATAGCTAATGCATCTTTATAAAATATTCATTGAAAAAAGTTAAATCAAAGAAAATATGCAATATAAATTCCAATTCCAATATTCCATTATTGTTATCTTATTACTATAAAATAAAATGCTACATACAAATGGCTTTACTCTTATATTTTTCAGAATTCAACATCAAAATATATTTGAAAGTTCTCTGAAAATAACATCTCTTTTCTGTATCCAGAACATAGAAGATCTAATCCGGGCACAGTTATTTGATTACCATATCGTAATTTCATTATTAAAAAAATTGCTACATACAAATAGAATTACTGTTGTATCTATGTGGAATACGATGTATCTATGTCGAATAAGTTGTATCTATGTAGAATATGTTGTATCTATGTGGAATATTTTGTGTCTATGTGGAATATGTTGTATCTATGTTGAACCTATTTTGTATCTATGTTGTATCTATGTGGAATCTATGTTGTTTCTATGTGGAATTAGCCGAGAACAATAGTGATAAAACTTTTTAAAGATTTCAAAAATAAAGTCGCAATTTTGAACAAGTCAAGCAATCTAAAAAGGAAAAACATTTATATAAACGAGGATTTCTGTCCTGAAACAAAGAAAATCAGGAAAAGTTTGAGGAAGAAAATGAAGATCGAACGAGCGGCTGGTAAGTTTGCATACATATCTTATGATAAATTGATAATTCGCGATTGGGTAGCAAAGAAAAGCAAAAATTTATCTTCATAATATTTTTAATTAATTAACAGAATTTTATTTTTACTATTACTTATTTTCAAATTAAACTGTTTTAAAAATGGAGAAAAATTTCGGATGAAAATGACATTCTTGGTGATAATAATAACGACGCAAGTTATTTTATTCACAAAATGTTAGAAAGTTAACATTACTCCGTTTCTGAATATTCGCAACAACTTAAACAAAATAAAAACATTTTTTCAATTTTAAATATCAATATTCGAAGTTTAAACAAAAATTTTGAAAGTTTAAAAATATTATTAAATGAACTTAAACACGAATTTAAAATTATAAGTGTGACGGAAACTTGGTGTAAAAGTGGTAAAACAAATTATGAATTTGAACTAATTTTATTATGTTCAGTTATTAAAAAAGACCAACGGAAACACTAAAAAAGTATGGAATGTTATTAAGGATTAAATTGGAAAAAAATAATTATAAAAAAAACACTCTGCCAAAAAATCTTTTAATTAATGGAAAATTAGTTTACGATAAATCAATTATAGCTGAAGAACTAAACAACTACTTTGTTATTATTGGTCCAAAATTGGCGGCTAAAGTTCCACCTAACTTCACTTCTTTTGATTCATATCTAAAAACTTACGATAAACTTATAGACGAAACTAGTTTGAAACATAGCGAGCTGAGAGTTGCATTTAGCAGTTTTAAGAGTAAAAAAAGGGAAGGTTTTGATAAAATTAGTGTTGATATTGTCAAATCAGTATTTGACATTATTGAACCTTCTTTATTTCATGTTTTTGATCTTTCATTTAAGACAGGTATTATTTCTGACAAACTAAAAATTGGCCGTTAAAACCAATTTTTAAATCTGGAGATAAGTCTGATATTTTAAATTACAGTCCTATTTCTATATTACCTTGTTTTTCAAAATTGCTAGAGAATAATGTGTAATAGGCTGTATAACCATCTGACTGAGAACGACATGTTGTATTGCAGGCAATATGGTTTGAAAAAAAAAATTCCACTGAACATGCATTAGTTACCGAAAGCAATTTTTGCACTATGCTCAAAATAACACAATTCCATTTTAGGACCATTCTTATTTCTACTGTACATAAACGACTTGTACTTAACAACAAATCTTTTAGACCTAATTTTGTTTGCTGATGATTCCAATCATCAGCAAATAAAATTAGGTCTAAAAGATTTTTTGTTAACCCTATATTGCATAGCGTGTCTTTAAATTAACATACCACATATTGGATTTTTACAAAGTTTAACTAAAGGTAGTAACTTAAAGTATCTTTTGAGTAGTTTAGAGTTATGATACAGAATATTTTAAGTGTGACCACTTTGCAATAAAACTATATATTACCTTAGTGAAAACATTTGAAGTTGCTAATTTAGAGATGACGGCCTCACTTCATATTGTTAAACTTTGAAGAATTTATTTTGATATTTCTGAGCAAATTTATATCAATTAAAAAATACTTATTAATTTTTTAAAGTTACAACTATGTTTTAAAAGCATTTAGATTTAATTTATATTTATTATAAAGGTATAAACCTGAAAAATGTGTTTGTTGCTTTAAAGCAACACCGTGCAACTAGATATATAAAAACCTAAAAACAACATAATTATGAATTGTTTATTTTTAAATGTTTTGTCAAGGTTTTGTAAAAAGTTTTAATTGTGTTACTAGATGAGTGTTAAATGCTTTTATGGAAGCTTATCTAAGTCAAAACTTAATCATCCTCCTGTATAATTTCCATTCCAAAATCCAGAAATGTCAGATGATAGTGATTTGTTTACAGATTTTGATGAAGAATAAAAATGCAATAAAAACTTAAACTTTAAGCAGAATATTAAGTACTAATTTAATTTAAGCATTAATTTAATTATCTTAAACTTTTTAAAACACTGTTTAAGTATTTTTATCTTTCAATGGAGTCTACTAAAAAGATAAAAATATTTCCTTATATATTGTAAAAATTTTGCTAAATTTTTTTTAGATGAATCCTAAAAACTTTTATGGATCTACAAAGAGGTTAAGAATCCCATTTCGAAAAACTGTTTTTCCTGTAAATCAACCTAAACTATCTGAAGTCAGTGATCTTTCAGGAGAATCTGATGAAGACTTTATTACATCAGAGTCAGAATCAGAATATGGTACTTCAGAATGGGATAGTGAGACTTCAGATGGTAACGAACAACAGCAAGCTCCACAGTTATCATCATCTAAAACACATCAACATTTACTGCAACAACCACAACCAACATACCAACCACAGGAAAAAAAAAGAAATCTTATTTGGAAAATTAAAAAAGATGACGATGTTCAGCAAATAAACCTTCCATTTCAAAACAGTGAAGATAAAGAAGATGATAATAATGGAATCTCAGATGAGCCAATATCATATGTAAGAAGATTTTTAACTGATGAACTTCTTCAAAAGATTGTTGATGAGTCTAATAAATATGCATCACAAATAAATATAGAGAATATGTTACGTTTGGAAAAAGATGAACTTGAGCAATTTATTGGCATTTTGTATTTGATGAGTATTGTGAAGCTCCCGTCAACACGCATGTATTGGAGCAATGAGTTGTATTTTGAAAAAGTTGCTGCAGTGATGACATTAAACCGATTTGAAAAAATAAAGTTATTTTTACATTGTAATGATGACAGACAGCGTCCAGAAAACTGTACTGACAAGCTTTACAAGATACGTCCCATCATTAATATGCTGAAAGAATCTTTTATTAGTCTGAAACATGACAAAATCCTGTGTATTGATGAACAGGTTGTTCCTTTCAAAGGAAGATCCTCGTTAAAACAGTATAATCCTCATAAGCCAAAAAAGTGGGGTTTCAAGTTTTATATCTTAGCTAGTGTTGATGGACTAGTTAATAATTTTGAAATACATTCCGGTTCAATTGATGTTTGTGTAGGACAGCCTGATTTAAAAGCATCTGGAAATATTGTAATGCATCTGTTAGTCAATGTACCAAGGCATAAATGGCACAAGTTGTTTTTTGACATTTGGTACACTGGGTTCGACCTGGTGAAAACACTTTACCACCAAGGCATAGCATGCACTGGAACAGTTCGTACAAACAGGCTTCCAAATATTAAAATGTCTACTGATGGTGAATTAAAAAAAGAAGGTAGAGGATCAACAGCCATTAGGGTTACCACAGTTGATAATGTTGAACTTCGCGCTATTAAATGGTTTGATAACAGGGGTGTTGCATTGTTAACAAGTTATGAGGCAGTGAATCCAATAAACATTGTAAACCGTTGGGATAGAAAAACCAAGAGAATTGTTCAAGTCAAACGACCATCTGTTGTTACCACATACAACACATATATGGGTGGGGTGGACCTTCTTGATGGCATGTTGAGTCTTTACAGGATCCATATTCGATCTAAAAAGTGGTATCACAAACTCATTTGGCATTTTTTTGATTTGATTGTAGTACAAGCATGGATACTCTACTGTAGAGACATGAAAAAGTCACAAGCTTTAAAGAAAGATATTTTTCAATTGCGCATATTTAAGCTGAAAGTTGCAAAATGCTTAGTTCAGTCTGACAAGGCTTTAAGCAGTAGACGAGGACGACCATCCACTTCTGTTGACCATCTTCATAGATTAAAGAGGAAGAGGGGTCCTGCTGCTAATTTACCTGAACCATCCACTAGGAAAGATAATATTGGTCATTTTCCTTTTTTTGTTGACAAAAAAGGGCGTTGTAAGTATCCAGGCTGCACTGGAATAACGAAAGTTTTTTGTGAGAAGTGTAAAGTTCATTTATGCTTTACATCTAATTCAAATTGTTTTCGAAAGTTTCATGAATAATTCTTGAAATACTTCTTGTTTTTTCTTTACAGTTTTTTGAAATTGAGATAATAGTTAAGCTTGTAAACTAATTCTTACTTTGAAATTTTTTTGAAAGATTTTCTTGTTTTAACCAAGAGCTGTAACTAAATGTTAAGTAAAATTGATTTTTAATTACAATTATTCTGTAGTTATTTGTATTTTAGAATTCTTGTTTAGACTTTGTGGTCAATTTATAATATTATCTTCTTCAGATAAACTATTCTTTGACATAGTAACTTAGTTTAAAAAACTGTCATAACTGCATATTGTTGCCTTAAAGCAACAAAGTCCAAAAAACCTAATTAAAAAGGTAAAAAAAAAAATTTGATTATTTTTTGTTATCTTAGTCCTCAAATAACATTTTAAATGGATTTTCAAATTTTTTAATCATTAGCGGAATAAATCATGCAATATAGGGTTAAGTTTTTTTGTTCTCACAGAGATATTAACTTTTGTGTTTTCACAGAGATATTAAAACACTTTTTAAAATAGTTAATGAACAGTTATGTAAAGTTAATGAATGAAAGTAACAAGCTTTCACTAAATGTGGATAAAACTAAATATATACTTTTCCATAAACTAAATAAATCAGAAAACATTCCTCTTAAACTACTTATAATTAATAGTACATATTAAAAGGGAAACATTCGTAAATTTTTTAGGAATAAAACTGGATGAAAATTTACTGTGGCGTTCACATATAAATAGCATTGAAACGACACCCTCAAAAAATATCTCAATGATGTTTAAAACTAAACCTTTTCTAAATGTAACATCCCTGAAAAAATTATATTTTGCCTTTATTCACAGTTATTTGTCTTACTGTAAAATTGTGTGGTTTAGTACTGGCTATACAAAACTTAAGAAAAGCTTAAATAAACAAAAACATGCGTACAGAATAGTGTTTGGAGCCTATAGAAATATTCCTTGCGAACCACTTTTACGTGCGATTGGTGCTTTAAATGTTTTATTGTTTATGTTTAAAACAAGAATGGGATTGTCCCTAAAAATCTTTCAAAATTATTTTAATAATATTAATCATAAGTACTCAAAACAGTTTTCAGATAGCAACTTTATTCTTCTCAAATATAATCTAAAATTAACCTCCTATTTAATTAAATACCATGGACCTTATCAGTAAAAAAAATTACCTGATATTGTCAACATAAACAAGACAATCTTAGAGCAATTCAAGAATCAATCAAAAAGATTATTACTGTTTAGGGAATTTAATTTATCCGACTTTTAATGTTTCTTTTTAGTGATTTTACAATACAAGTTTAAGTGATTATGTTTAAAGTTCATCGAGTGATTGTTAAGTAATGTTAATTATGAAAGTGATGTTAATTATAAAATTTTACATTATTTTTTTTATTTGAAAGTTTTGTTTAAGTGTTGTTATACATTTTAGCGGTTGTACGCGTTTTGAGACTTCCTAATTATTTGCTAATTTGAATTTCTTTAATTTCTTAGTTATTTTCTGTTTTAATTCTGATTTATATAATTATATATATTTGGATTTTACGGTTATTTAGATTTTTATATTTATATATGGGGCGATAAGGCAAAATGTACCAAAATGTGCTCGGCGATAAGGCAAAACGTGCCTTCTTCTTGCTCCAACCATTAATTTAGATTAATGTATATGCGATGCAAACATTTTTAACGAAATAAATTACACACAAAAAAATAAAAATACAAGATTCAAATATGCGTAAACTCTCTGAAAAAAGCATATTTTTTGTGTATCAAGAATATAAAATATTATATCCAAACACAATTTATTTTGCAGTAATTTCATTACTGCATAAATTGCTACAAACAAATGACATTACAGTAGTATTTTTGCGGAATATGGTATAAATATATATGGAATCATAATAATGATTCATGCACTTTTATTAATAGCTCTATATTAAATCCAATCTTAAGTTTTCTGATTTATTTTTATCATAACTGTAATTTCTAATGACTATAACTTAAAAACGCATTTTTGTTTGGAGTTTTACGCATGGGATGGAATAAATCAGGCTGACGAAATAAACTACCACATAATGCGCTTGCCTTAGAAGTTAGAGATCAGTGGTTCAACACCAACTCTAGGCAAGTCTTATAATATCGGTAAGAAAAAAGGCATGAACTTCTTTCCAAATGCTCCTCCGCGGTGCTTTGTGATAAGATCATAAGGACTTTTTGGGGCACCTAAAATTAGAGAGACAAAAAAAAATAAGTATAAGTCAATATTATTGCTAAAGCTATAAAATTTTGAAAAAGAGTTTTCAATTCTTAGCTACATAATAATAGTACAAATTGTTAAGTATTAGTATGCATTTTTTATAGAGACAATTTTTTTTTCGGTACCTAAAAACTCATGAATATAATTGTATAAGTCTATGCAAACTTGTCTCGTAGGCTTCTCATCATTAATAATAAAACATAGTTTTGGTTTAAAAATGGAATAAAAATACACTTTTACTTTCTCTACCATGCTTTTTAATTATGACTCAATTAAAGTTGATACTTATGAGGATGTAAAATAAACGCATTAATACTATCACAAATAAAGCAGGTATATATGTAAACGTTGTTTTATAAAATTTTAGATAATATTTCATTTGATTAATAATAAAAAAAAAAAAAAATTACATTATTGAATCAAGCTTAAATGTAATTTTCAAGTTTTTATAAATAATTAGTTAAAAAAAAAAGTTTTTATTTAGAAAAGATAAAGATAGTAGGGGTGGAGAAGATGGTATTTATATTATTAACAATATTAAATCTACATTATAATGATGATATACTTAACTCCTAAATAATTGAGCAAAGTTGGTGACTTAATGAAGTCGGATCAAAAAAGGTTATTTATGACCGATTCAATCTTCGAGGTTCATGTAGTAAAATGGAAAGTTTGCTATAATCCGCTCAATTAAACAAATTAGCAATCTGTACCTAAAGAATAAATGTTCTGGTATCCTGATATGTGGAGATTTTAATTATCCGTCAATAAGTTGGTATAAAAGTTAAAATTTACTTCAATAAGATATTCAGGCAAAAGAGTTTATAGATTGCCTAAGTGATTTTTTTTGTTCCAAAATATTACTTATCCAATATTTCAGGTAAAAATTGATTTGATTAATAATTGGTTAGGTTTAATAACAACCGAATGAATAATTTGAAAACAGAATATTTTTAGTCATTCATCTTCAACTTGTGGAGGCGATTAAACACAGTCACCACTTACTCAAATTCAACTATTCGTATTCTAAAAATAGGAACGATAAAGAAGCAACAACGAGTAAACTACTTTATTACATGGGAGATTACGAGAAATTAAATAATTATTTTTAAAAAGTTAATTGGTCTGATAAATTTCTGAATTTAAACGCAAATGGTTCTTATAACATTTGGTTATCAATTTATAATTATGGATGCGGTATGTTTATTCCTAGGTTGAAAATGAGTAACAAAAAGAGTATAACGATCCTTTTTGAACGAACATTGAACTAAAACGAGTGTGTAAAAGAAAGCGCAACTTATGGCTTATGTGCCGCAATACAAAATTATGTGGTGGTCACGGCATAAAAATACTTGAATTTGGAAATTAAAAAAAAGGTGAAAAAGAGTATCCGGGATTTCGAAAGAAAATTAGCACTGAATTCTAAACTAAATCTTTAATCGGTATATGCATATATTAACAGCAAATCTTCTACAAAGGTATCAATAAAAACATTATATTGGACTAATGGCACTCAAGGAGCAATTAAACAAACAACTACAGACGGTGCTATAATAGTGAGTACATTGAACAAGAATATCGTTTCAATTTTGACGAAAGAAAATTCGACAAATATCCCAAAACTTAGTTCCGAAAAAACCGAAAGTTCTCAATATGTGTTTTAAATCACTGTGAAAGCCTTTGTCAATAATTTTTTAAAAGTCTTACGAATCAAGTGTTGATTCGGATCTTTGGAAAAAAGTGCACATTATACCTCTGATTAAAAAGTGAAGCAAACTTGAGCCATCTAATTATCGTCTAATTTCACTAACTTCGGTTCTATTCAAATTAATGGAGCGTATTATACATGATGAGATAACAAAACATTTAGTAGTGCACAATTTGATCATAAAACAACAAAATAGTTTCGTTAATAATGAAAATTGCACTACTAATTTGCTTGAATCAATTGATTTTATCACAAAAGCACTTGCAAATGGATACAATGTAGATAAGTTATTATTAAATTTTGCAAAAACTTTTGTCTCTGTTTTATTGTTAAAGTTGTTAGTAAAGCTTGATTGGCTCGGGATTAAAAATAATTTATTATTTTGGTGTAAAAGTTTGCAAAGAGTAATAATTGGGGAATTTGTGCCGGGATGGGAGAAAATAGATAGTGGGGTCCCTCAAGGCTCAGTTTTAGGTCCACTATTTTTAGAGGTATTTATTAACTATTTATTAATTAAAATCAAAAATGAAGACAAACTTTTCGCTGACGATACTAAACTATTAGCAGTCATTAAATTGGAATCAAATAACATCAGTTTACAAAACAATCTTAATATTTTAAAAGAATGGAAAGAGAACTGGCAAATAAAATTAAATCGCAAAAATGTAAATTAATGCATTTCGAATAAAACAACCCTAAATATAAATACATAATTAAGGAAGTTATAGTAGAGGAGTTTATAAGTAGTGGAAGTTATAGTAGAGGAGTTTATAAGTAGTGGAAGTTATAGTAGAGGAGTTTATAAGTAGTGGAAGTTATAGTAGAGGAGTTTATAAGTAGTGGAAGTTATAGTAGAGGAGTTTATAAGTAGTGGAAGTTATAGTAGAGGAGTTTATAAGTAGTGGAAGTTATAGTAGAGGAGTTTATAAGTAGTGGAAGTTATAGTAGAGGAGTTTATAAGTAGTGGAAGTTATAGTAGAGGAGTTTATAAGTAGTGGAAGTTATAGTAGAGGAGTTTATAAGTAGTGGAAGTTATAGTAGAGGAGTTTATAGGTAGTGGAAGTTATAGTAGAGGAGGTAAAATTAAGGAAGTTATAGTAGAGGAAGTAAAAGTTGAAAAAAATCTTGGCATTTTTATCTCAAATGATTTTGATTGGAGATAACTTTATGCTATGCGATTAATACAGCAAATAAACAAATAGGAAGAATTAAGCATGCATTTGAATATATAGATGAAAGTATTATTAGCTTATTATACAAATCATTTGTTCGTCCCCATCTCGAGTATGGAACAGTTATTTAGAACCTCGATTGGTTGAAATTAATCGACTTGAAAAAGTTCAAAATCAAGCGACCAAAATATCATTTCTAGTTAGTTATGGTCATGAAGAAAGAAATTTAAAACTAAAATTTCCTTCATTAAAAAACAGAAGAAGGCAGGGTGATTTAATCCAAATGTTTAAACTAGTAAAACGAATTGACAAAATTAATTTGCACAACCGAATTGAATATTTTAATACTAACGGTCGAGCAAGAAATCATAAATCGAAAATGCATAAGGAGTCAATAAAAACACAAAATAACTACAAGTTTAACACATTCAGACAAAATTTTCTCACGACCTAGTGGGCACGGACTTAAAAAAGACGTCTTTTAAACGTCTTAAACACGTTTGGGACCTCTTTTGAACGTCTTTTGAACGTTTTGGACGTCTTTTGAACGTTGAAAAGACGTCTTTTTTTGGTCCGGTGCCCACTGGGTAATAGAGTTGTAAATGACTGAAATGTACTAACACAAGAAATCATCTTGTGTTAGTACATTTCAAATTTTTTCAACTTGATCTTTATCTATGAGTTACAGATAAAAATGTGAGAGTGTGGCTTTTAGGATGCAATAGTTTTGGTGATCCCTCTACCTTTAGAGGAAGCTTGGAATTTATATCACAAACTATGCTGTTTTACTTGGCAAATAACAAACTGAATCGGGATGCGATGTAACAGCATAATTGGGTCATTATGGTGTTAATTAGACTGGTTTTTTTTTCACTTATTTTCATGTTATATTTCTTTAAATAATAGCAAAAATTATTGCATTGTCATCTGACCATAATAAGACTTAAAAAAGTATATTTCTAATAAATACAACGACAGAATAAAATCAGTATAACATAATTGTAAGTAGAGCACATTAAATATATTTTTTAAAAATAATTTCTTATAAATATACCTCGGAAAGATAATTTCTTATAAATACATCTAGTATATAATTTCTTATAAATGGTGACCGCTTTAGGTAACCGCTCAAATCAAGGATTAGATTTCTTATTTTTAAGTATGTGTAAATAAATACATTATCAAAGTTCAATAAAATCAATTGTTTCAACGAAAGCTTCATATATCAATTTGTTTTTTTTAAAGTATCATACATAAATCTAATATGAAATATTTAAAAAAATAAGGAAACTTGCATTATTATAAAGATCAAAAAATAAAGCTTTTAAAATAAGTAATATAAGAGCAGATCTTCTTTGCTTTTTTTCATAGCATTTTTTTGCAACATCTCTTGGGGAAAGCCCATTGTGATTTCAGTTGTAAATGCTCAATTGTGAAAAAGAAAATGGACAAGAGATGTTCAACAAATAGTAAATGCAAAGAATAATGCGTAAAACCTCTTTTATTGTCTGTAAATCTGATTTGACCATTTTGCACCCTGATCTGTTGTGGACACCATACTTTTTTGAGTTATACGGAACTTACGGACAGTACTTGGCAAGCATCAAACTCATCGAGCAGATCATCAAATTAAAGAAAAGCAAATCAAATTTTTATTAAATAATTCCCAGAATTTAAATTTAATACAAGTATTTTCTAAATAGTTTAAAAGATTTTGTTCAACTAGATTTAAGTCACTACTATTCTATAAAAATAACTATAAAAGTAATTATATTTCAACAAGTTTCAAAACTTTTTAGGTTTTGAAACTTAATGAAACTGTTTACTGGCTGATTCATGAGAAGTTGGATGATTTATAGTACAACCTTGTTGCCGAATAATTTTTGATACCCGACTGTTGCAAAATTATGTTTTATACCTAACTGTGGCCAAATTATGTTTGATACCAGATCGTTGTCAAATTATGTTTGATACCTGGCCAATGCTAAATTATATTTGATATCTAGCTTTAAAACGAATCTTAGGAATGACTAATTTTATTTTAAAACTATAGTACATAAAAGTATATAAATAATTCTTATTATATACAACTACAACAACAACAACAGCACCACCAATAAGAGCAATATATAAATATATCATAAACACACACGAGACCGGCGCAATGGGTGTGTGTGGTGGAGGAGGGATGCGTGACACCCCCCATCAATGATTTTTTTGTTCATTAAGTCGGCAAATTTGACCCTTTTTGGCTAGTTAGTTGTCACATGTAGACCCTTTCGAAAAGTAAATAAGCAAATATTGTAGTGCAATAAAATTTTGATTAACTGAAAATAACTTTTACCCAGTCTTCCGAGCAATTTGAAAAACTTTCAAAAACTTTTTTTTTCCAAACTGCTCGGAAAATGTTTATTTAAATTTGTAATAAAAACTCTCTTTGAATACATGGTCCATTGTCTAAAGTAAAAGCAACATGACAATACTAAAGAATACTGTTTTTCAGCTTTTTCAAAACAGCATTTATCAAAACACTGTTTAAAAAACTTAGAGTTTATGTACTGTGAGAATCAAAAGGAACTGTTGAAATCTGAAAAAATATTAGGACAATAAAATGTGTGATATATTACATAATAGAGCAAAATGTGTTAAAGTTTAGCTAAACCCCAGTCAACAATTATTCAAATAAAGAGAATAAAAAAAAAAACAAAGATTTTTAGTCTTTGACCTAAACGTGTTTGATTTATTGGGAAGAGTGGGGTAAAATGGTATACTTAAGACTAAATCACAAACAAAATCATAAATAAAAAACGCTTAAGTAAACATTTAATAACCAAAAGTTTACACTATAAAGTACAAACTTTATTATCAAGAATTCAATTGGAAGTTCTAAAAATATTTTTTTCTAAATAAAAAAAAAGCATAACAACAAAATCCCGTTTTACCCCATACCTGGGGCAAAACGGGATGATGCACGGGGCAAAATGGGACTAAAAAAAATTTTCAAAATGTACAACATTTAAAATTTATAAAGTAATGTTCAATAAAAAATTATGAAAAATGCACTCAAACACACTATTAGCAAACAAATTCTTTTTTACCCTTTTCTCTATGCCAGCACACAAATAATGTGCTCAATTACCACAAGCTGTATAAGCTGGCTTTACCCTGTACAAGCTTTCCTCGCTCTCCAAATACCTGTAATTATAGTACAGACACCTTGTGTCGTCCTCTTTGTTTTCTAATTTAGTAGTTTTTATCTTTTTGGGTATTGTTTTCTTCTCCTTAGCTACAGTTGATATATATGATGAAGACATAAGCACTGCTGTCTTTTTCTTTTGCGGCGACATTCCTTTTTTGAAGCCCTGTTGTGGAAAAGGAATGATATGTCTCGGAGAAGTAGTAAAAAGGCTAGGAAATGTTACAACAGACGTGTTGGGTAATGTAGAAGTTGAAGTATTGGGTCATGATGAAGTTGAAGTGCTGGGTATTGGTAACGTTGAGGTGCCTGGTAATGCCAAAGTTAAGATGCTTGGTAATGTTAAAGTTGAGGTACTTGATAATGTAGAAATCAGCATACTTGGTAAAACAGAAATTTAAGTTTTTGATAACATAGATGTTGAAATGCTAGGTATATATAATGTAATAGTGCTTAGCAATGAAGTGAAAGAGCTGGGTAATGTTGAGGCAGCTGTACTTGGAGTGATGTATCCATAGGTAGTTCTGTCGCTTCAGCTGATAAAAAATTAGTATCTGTAAAAGTGAACCTCTTTATTGATCATACTCCAGAATTTTGATAGCCATTTATGACATTTTTCATGGTTGCCTTCTTCCAAATACTCAGAGTCGAATAGGGTTGCTTTCTGAAATTTTGTAACAAGTCGCCCAGGGTGCTCACGAAGCCATTTTCTCATGGCATGATCTTAATGCACACTAAGTGGCTTCATGAAGACTAGGTCCAGGGGTTGCAATTTGTGGGTACAATATGGAGGATGACACAGTATTATGACTCCATTTTCCGTTGATAAGCTATTTGGTGAAGTTACATCGAAGTCAGCCTAAATAGCATTCCCTCCATTTGCTGAAGGTATGCAATAAACTTATCTTCCTCACCAGCCGTAAACACTGTTTTATATGCTCTCATTGTTGAAATGAAAAAAAATTATACTTTAAAATTGTGTCTTAGATTTTGAAATTAGTAGGAAAAAGTGAGAATATTATAAACTCCTTCAGATTATGTCGATCAATGGGGCAGGTGATGTATTTTTCACCAGTTTCTGTGAACACGGCATACAAGGGGATTGTGTGATCAGCACAACACCCAGCCGCATTTACTTTCCATAACTTGCGTCATGGAACCTATCAGAACAAGGTGGACTTTATCCTTCAGACCCAAAAAAAACAATCGCGAGGCTTCCACAGAGATTCAAAACCTGGACCATTCGTTCAGAGTCTGTGTGCCATACCACACAGCCTCCGTGCTCCTCAGTAGGACAAGGTATATATGATAATGTTTTATATAAATTAATTAAAATGTAATGATTTCACATTTATATATATAATTCAAAATCCTTTTTAATCCAATATTTGTTAATCTTTAGAAACTTATGCAGTCGTGGTCACCTAAAGAGCTCCATCCCACCACAGGACATTAATTATAAACCTAAAACCCGAAAACCCCTGCTGAAACAAAAAAAATCCTGCAGACATGTTTATAAAATGTGCTGGTATAAAAAAATCAATAAGCCTATCAAAGATTTTACCTAAAAAAAAATTGACTTACTCTTTTTACTAGCTTCCTAAAGCCTTTTTTTAAAACCTTTTTTTCGTCGTTCTTGGCTAGCCTGCGCTCTAATGTAGTCTTGGACACCCTGTGCAACTCAGTAGCTTTTTTGAATCCATACAATCTATTGACCACTGTCTTTACCGCTTGGAGTATGACAGTTTCATCCCAAGAACTTCTATTTGTTTTCAGTTCATAATTTCTCATTTTTAAGACTGCAAGATAAAACAAATATTATCTAAAAGACTTAAAGATTTTACACCTAATTCATTAATGTTACACCTAGTTCATTAATGTTACACCTAATTCATTAATTTTACACCTAATTCATTAATGTTACACCTAATTCATTATTTACACCTAATTCATTAATGTTACACCTAATTCATTAATGTTACACGTAATTCATTAATGTTACACCTAATTTATTAATGCTACACGTAATTCATTAATGTTACACGTAATTCATTAATGTTACACCTAATTCATAAATGTTTAGTCTTAAAATTTTAAGTAGCTAATATTATAGTCATGGTAAATACATAGAGAATAGAGGTATGGTATATACATAGAGAGGCAATATATGGCTATAAAATCATGTTAATTTCACTACGATCATTCAGTCAAAAATGTCAGCAGTATTATAAATAGTTAAAATATTATTAAAAAATTTTGCTTAATATAAATAATAAATTAATATTTGTTATGTGAATAAATATCACTCTGATTTATCAAAAAATAGAAGATAAGATGGGGCAGGACGGGCTAATATCCCACTTCGCCCCACACGAGGTATGCCTTTTTGCCCCATAAAAAATGAAACACATTAAGTATTTCACCGGATTGCCTGGCTAAATTATAAATTAATGTTAAGTTGTTTATATAGAATATATAATTATTAACCAATATAAATAAAAATACAACTCACTGCTTCAAAAAAATTGTAACTGTGCAGAAAATTAAAAATGCCAAATTTTAGATTAAAATAAATGCAAAACTGAACTTACTGCCAAAAGCTGACTGAACTTGTTTATTGGAACAAAAGATAGCTTCTTCTTGTTACGTAATCTCGCAGATTAACTCTTTGACCGGACGTTTTGGGGCTCTGAAAAGGTTGTTTTAACAATATCTCGTTTCACCCCAATACCCTGTTTTGCCACATTCTATACACGTGGTATATTACCATGATTGGTTAAAACTCGAACGATTTTAAATTGAGTTTTCTCAAATACTCCTTAATCAATTGTTATGATTTTTTTTATAGTGATGCTAACATAATTAGTTTCCTTATGTGTGAGTGTAGTTTTGTTTACTCTTCGTTAGTCTTGCAATGTTGAGTAGTCAGAGTCAGAAAATCGAAAACATTTTAAAATTTTACATAGAAAATGCATAGTTCTCATATTCCATGATTTCAAAAGCATGTAAAGTTCCAAAATCAACTGTTGGAATTATTATAAATTGTTATAAGGAAAACATAACTATAAAATAAAATCGGGAAATGGTGGAAAATCAAGATTTATTTCAAAAAAAAAAGGGAAAATCAATAGTCGACTTAATACATCAAAATCAGACTCAGTTACAACAAAATTTAGCTACGAAGTTTGAATGCAATAAAGCATTCGTTCAAAGAGTATTCAAAAAAGAAAATCTTAAAGAATATTACAAGAAAAAAATACGAAAAAGATTGCTTGCTGGAGAAAATCAACGCTATTGGATTAGCAAAAAATTTGCTTAAATTAATTACGAAAAAAAGTCTATACAATTTAAGAAAACAATGTAACTTACTGTAAAAAAGATCACTAGATGCTTTCATGTAATAGTATTCTATTATCAGCCGAAACGTTATAAAGCTTCTGACAAAATTTAAATACATTTGAGTAAGAAAATCACTTTCGAGTTCATTGTATGGCAGGCAATAATTTATTATATTATATTGAATATTAATTTATTAAAATTTATTATATATACATACATATATATATATATATATATATATATATATATATATATATATATATATATATATATATATATATATATATATATATATATATATTATATATATACATAAAATATGCAAGTTTTAATATATAGTATTTATTTATTAAACAAAAATTCAAAAATAAATCAAATAAAACGCGAAAAAATAATAGCACGATATCTTTAATGTGTACTTTAAAATAAGGAAAGATCAATTGTTTTAAACATTTTTCAATAAATATTAGTAATTTCTTAACACATTAGTATTTTGTAGAGCGTGACTTTTATTGGCAATGACGGCTACACAACGTCTTGGTATCGAGTTAACCAAGTCCTGACATCGCTTTAGCGGAATTTCACACCATTTCTCCTTAACTACGTTTCAAAGTGACTCCTTTGTGGTGGGTTTGGCAGCAGCAACCACCTTCTTTACGTCAGCCCGCAAATTCTCGATTGGGTTAAGATCTGGCGACTGTGCTGACCACTCCATAACTTTCACTTTATGCTCCTCAAACCAATTCTTCTCCTTTTTGCTAGTGTGCTTTGGGTCATTGTCCTATTGGATAAAGCGATGTTGCATACGCAACATCGCTTTATCCAATATATCAACATAAACATATTGATCCATTATAGTATTAATGTGATGAATGGGCCCTACTCCGTAATAAAAAAGCATGCCCATATCATTATACTATAGCCTCAATGTTAAATAGTTTTGATGGTATATTTTGGATTGTATTCTGCATTCGGCGGCCTTTTCCGCCATAAAACACAACTTTACTTTTGTCTGTTCATAAAATATTCCTCCATTTTTTGAGTGGTCAATTTGATTGTTTTTTAGCAAACGCAATACGCTTTACAACATGTTTGGTTTGAAACTTTTTTGGGGCTACAGACTTTTAAGCCATTAACTCGCAAACAACTCCGAACTGTTTGTACTGTTGCATCGATGTTTAAGTCCTTTTTTAGTTCGGTAGCTATTTTAAAAGGTTCCTTTTTAGCCTATCGGACTAAGCGATGTTGAAATAGAACGTTTTCTACCACGTGTTTCAGGCTTTTCTTGAAATTTTATGGCATTTCTTATCATTTTATAGGAACACTCAACTAAACGACCAACTTCTCTATAAGATTTCGCTGCTGATATCAACTTTCGGATCAGTTCTCGCAAAATTAAACCCAACGCTTGCTATTTTCACAATTATTTTTATCATTATCAGAGTATTTTACAACAGAATAGTGTGTGGTGCTATTTTATTTTTCGGTCAGAATTGGCATTTTTGATTAAAATCGAGCAACACCAAGCAGTTTTTTTTTTTAAGAAAATAAATATGTTAGCTAAAATTTTAAACAGCAAAGCTATAAAAAAAATTTTATTTTGCATGGTGTTTTCTTAACAAAAAGGAAAATACGCTTAGTGGTGCTATTTTATATTTCGCAACTGTATATATATATATATATATATATATATATATATATATATATATATATATATATATATATATATATATATATATATATATATATATATATATATATATATATATATATATATATATATATATATATATATATATATATATATATATATATATGTATATATATATATATATATATATATATATATATATATATATATATATATATATATATATATATATATATATATATATATATATATATATATATATATATATATATATATAGTTATACAATGTAGTGCCCGTAATTTACCAACATTTTTGCGCACCGAAGTACTATTTAAGCGCTGAATTGGCGGTTACTCGATTTGATCTTGTATTGCATAGCATTCTAGGTCTTAACAAAAATATTTTTAAGCTTTAACCAACTGAGCTATCGAGTCAAAATTAATTATGTATTCTATATATAGATAAATCAATAAATTGTTGAGTTTGAATTGTAGGCTCTAAATTTCGTTTATTTAGAAGAGCACCAAAACTATTAGCATTTACATTACAGCTGTTCCATGACTACTTCAAACTAGGGAAAATTGAACTGAAGTTTATCAGTCGATTGTCAATGATGCTATTCTAAATTTAATTATTATTGTATACTTTAGTTAATTAATCTTCAATTTGATTTCACGAACTAAAAGTTTAAAGTAATGTAAATATAGAATAACATCATTAACAATGGACAGCTCTACCAAATAAACTTATCGTACTATAGAGTTTGATTCTCGATTAAAGAAAGTTATTTTTAGATTTGATTTAAAATGGTATTTTGACACTTGACTTGTTGTGATAATAACATGAATGTTATTTAATTAAGTTAATATGCAAAAGCATTTTCTATTGATAATAAAATTTTCAATGGTACAATAAGTTAAAATGAATAACCTTTAATAACTTTAATCGAAAACATGCGAATAAAATGAAATATATATACCTGAAACGCAAAATTCAAAGAAGTTACACAAAATTCACAGAAATTTATTTAAAATAACATTTATTGCTTTGTTTTTGTTTTTTTTTACTTTTACCAGCTCGTGCTACTGTTATAAAAACTAATGTGTCAGTTTCATAACTACTTATGTAAACATGCCTAAATATAGCATTATTGCAATGATATTTTGCTGATGTATTGCTGTCACGTGTGACCTTAAATATAACAGCAAGTATAAATGTAAAATTATCTGTAAAAAAAACAGTAAATGTAATAGCAAACATCTTTAAAAATAGCACCATAACATTACAGCATAAAGTAACACCATAACATAACAACAAGCGCAACATCATTATTACGCCAAAATTATTTGGCCTCTTAAAGTATTTTTGGATACGAAAATATAACAAGATAAATAACGGCAATAAAGCACCCGCGTACATAAATGCTGAATATGACAATAACGTTTTTTGTGTGTACTTTTTTTTAATTCATTCGTCACTTTTAAAAATAGTTTCTGCAGAACTAATATTTGCTTTTTCTTATATGTTTTTAATAATAAGATATCAATATTGTATAACTACTTGTCTCTAAGTCAAAAGGTTGCTCATTAGAAGTTTCCATTGCAAACTAGTAATCTCTTACACTTTTCACGCTTTTAATATATATATATATATATATATATATATATATATATATATATATATATATATATATATATATATATATATATATATATATATATATATATATATATATATATATATATATATATATATATATATATATATATGTATATATATATATATATATATATATACATATATATATATATGTGTGTGTGTGTGTGTGTGTGTGTTTGTGTGGCCGTAGAAAGAATGTGTCTAACAACTGCGTTTTAATAATTTTAAAAAACTTCAAAATATAATTAGTAACACCATTTTTCTTCATTTACCTTTTCATTTTTTATTGCTTCTCTATAGATCCGCACTTAGTTTAAACCTAAAATTTTCAACAATAAAACATTATGTTAGGTTACTTAAACATATTACCTTTGGCTTTGTTTATCATTTTTTTAAATTAAAATTGACCTCAAGTTTAAATGCGTATCGTTCGGTTTTATTAAAGAATAAATCAGTCAATCAAAAGATTTTTTTACATTAAAAAAGTTTCCTATACAAATGAAATTTCTAAAAGGATTTGTAAGCATACCTGTCTATTTATATATGCATCGTATTATAAACTTGAAGTTTAATAATGAAGTTTTTAATTCGAACCTGATTACTACTGATAAAGCAATAAACAATTTTATAAGAAAAGATAATAATTTTGGATTTCTAAATATAGTGTTGCTCTTGTAAATAAAACTTTAATAATAGTGTAGAGCCGGAGCCACAAGTTTCACGTGTTCAATATAGTTTTTTTCCAGGCATGAGGTGAACTCAAAACATTTCTATTTTAACGCTAGTGTCAAAATAGAAATGTAATTTGAAAATTTAATTGCCGTACCTTTTGTAACATATCCTCATTTGAAACTTATTAAATAGAAATGTTTTAGGTTCACATCATGCCTGGAAAATAAGTATATTGAACACGTGAAAACTGTGGCTTCGGCTCTAGAGTGTAAAAAATAAACATAATTACAATTTAAAAAAAAGTTACATCATATGTTTAACTTATGACCTTGGTTTTATCATTTCTGAATTTTTTGTATATTAAAAGTTTTCAATAAAAAACAGCAACTACCATAAAAAAGATAGATTAAGTTTGCAGTTCTTGCAAATTTGATCTTTATAGTATATAAGAAATATTTCTTTTTTATTGCAACATAAACATTATTTTCTCATTTCTTTGCGTTCATATTACCCGTTTTAATTATCACTACTGGTCCATATCAATGCTGATAATTAATTGGTAGATTTCTTACGAGCTGAAGCAATGCCTTGTGGCGTTACAGGCTTATGGAAAAACCATAGAACTTAGATTTATGCAATGGTATGGGGTAGACTGATTTTGTTAGTTATTTGGTTATAGTTTAGTTTAAGACTATTAAGGTGATTACTGTTTAATATCTTGATTACTGTTTTATTTTTTTTACATATATTCAAAATTCAGTATAAGTAAAGCATGCAAATTTGAAAATAATTTATGCGGAAATTAGCGGTTTGTCCGGCTTTAAAATATTAAGTTTTTTTCTCCAGAATACTCCGTCAATTGTCCGTTTATTTTTAAATATTGAACTGATATCGAGTTGATTACTGTTTCCTGGTATAAAGATATGATTAATTAATTATTTATACATTAAATATTGTTACCTATAAAAGAATATTTAGCGAACCATATTTAAAGTTTGAAAAATGCAGGGCTGCGTTATAAAATTGCGTTTAAAAGTTTAAAAATAAGCTTTTTTTTAATTAAAATTTTAAAATTATTAAAAGTTTAAAATTATGTTTGTTTTTTTAAGCATATAATTTTAAGATATTTTTAAGTTAG